TCTATAGACAGGTGTCCTCTATATAGAGGTGTCCTCTATAGACAGGTGTCCTCTATAGACAGGTGTCCTCTATAGACAGGTGTCCTCTATATACAGGTGTCCTCTATAGACAGGTGTCCTCTATAGACAGGTGTCCTCTATAGACAGGTGTCCTCTATAGACAGGTGTCCTTTATAGACAGGTGTCCTTCATAGACAGGTGTCCTTTATAGACAGGCATCCTCTATAGACAGGTGTCATCTATAGACAGGTGTCCTCTATAAACAGGTGTCCTTTATAAACAGGTGTCCTTTATAAACAGGTGTCCTTTGTAGACAAGTGTCCTCTATAGACAGGTGTCCCCTATAGACAGATGTCCCCTATAGGCAGGTGTCCCCTATAGACAGGTGACCTCTATAGACAGGCATTCTCTATAGACAGGTCTCCTCTATAGACAGGTGTCTCTATAAACAGGTGCCCTCTATAGACAGGCGTCGTCTATCGACAGGCATCCTCTATAGACAGGTGTCATCTATAGACAGGTGTCTCTATAGACAGGTGTCCTCTATAGACAAGTGTCCTCTATAGACCAGGTGTTCTTTATAGACAGGTGTCCTCTATAGACAGGTGTCCCCTATAGACATTAGACAGGTGTTCTTTATAGACAGGTGTCCTCTATAGACAGGTGCCCTCTCTACAGAGGTGTCCGCTAACACGGCCGTGAACGTACGAGTGATAGTAGCATTTCGCTTTCCCTCGTATTTACCTTTGTCTTTTCGCCCTCCATAACTTCTATTTATTTAGTTTCATTTGTTTTAATTTTATCAGCATTGTCAATTAACTTGTTTAAGTACTATGTTACCTCCAAAATGTAATTCATACGCGTAAATAAAATAATTTGAATTCAATTCAATTGAATTGAAGTGGCAATGCAACTTTGCCAATTTTTTTGCCTACCGTCCAGTTGATCGTTATCGGTCGACTCTCTCTGCCTTCGCTTTCCTCTGCTAACGTGAATGCCGACTGAAGGTTCGAACGTGGCTCCTGAGCATTGAGGCTTCGAGGCAAGATCCTGCTTGTAGTTGCCCAAGTAAGGGTACTAGAAGCGCACGCAGAAAGAGACAACGTCACTGTCAGTTGACTGATACATCAGGAAAAGATGGAGAGTAAAGCCCGGCGAACACGTGAGTAATTTTACTCAAGTAAAATGACGC